GCAAACATTTTGAATCAAACCCCACATCACCCCTCAGTTTGATACACAATGCAGCACCACGCAGGACCACAGGAACAAAGTGTAGAAATAGGGACTTTAAACCCACGCGATCAACACCCATCTCTTGTCCCTTGCAAAGCACCGAGCCCCCCACACCCCACAGCAGCCTCAGGGGGCTGGGCCTGGATTGAGTCCTTGAGGGGCAGGCGCCAGCCTGACTTTAGGGCATCCAGATCACGACTCCTGCCAGAGCTCTGAGAGACATACAACGCTCGTGATTCACAGGCTGTGAAATCCAGCTCAGCCGAGGTTGAGGTTCTTTTTAATTAGAGAAAACGCTGCCCTAAGAAAAAACAAATGCTTGTGCAATCGGCATTACCCATCTGACTTCAGCTACGGAAAAGAAACCTTGAGGAATCTCGTTGAGGCTATAAATGTGCAATGAGCAGCAGTTCTGTTGTGCGGCGTTAGGGTGACCAGTGCAAGTCTAGCAGTTTAATGCAACCGTAAGCCATTAATTTAAGGTAGTTATTTTTAGCAGCTGTCAAGCTAAGGGAGAAACAGGGCTGGCAGAGCCAAGAAAAATACAAACAAGGAGGGTGCGAGCCTCTCCGCATCCCTCCTGCCACTGCCACCACGGCGCTGACCTGCCGTGCCCTCTGCCGCACACAGCTCTCTCACGGCCCCCCCGCGCCACAGGGGAAGTTACTACAAGTTGTGAGCTTTGATTTTCAGCTACGTCAGTGGTGGTGGGGTGACCAGCCCCCTTGCAAGAGGCAGTTACGCTCCCACACCAAACAGCATCCACTTGTGTCATGCAGTTTCTCCCCCTGGGATCTTCCTTCCTCCCTTCCTGTCGCGGATGGAGCAATGCGCTTCACTCGCAGAGAAAAGCATTTATTGACATAAACCAGTGACTTGACAAAAGTTTGATAGTAAATGTGCCTGTGTTCTAGGAAGATTTGAGGTGGGAAGGCACACTTAGTTATTTACTGCATAGACTAAACTCTGAGGGAGACCCTCCTGTTGAGTCATGAGGTTCAGAAAGGACCCCCTTGCGTTCTAAACTCCTTCTCAGAGAGGAGTCTGGTGGAGCTGGATCCAGTCCTAGTCCCAGACTTGGTCAACAGTTTATGTCCAAAGGATTATTTACGTGCAATCAATCCTTTATATCACTCAGCTCAGCATGCTACTAGTCACTTACCAAGGATCTGTTGCACCAAGGAATCTCTAAATCTCAAGAAGTAAATCTTGAGCAGGCATCCCTGCTCAAGGGGAGATCCTGGCTGCTGTGCACTGCAAGCTGGCTGAATATGAGCCAGCAGTGTGCCCAGGTGGCCAAGAAGACCAACAGCATCCTGACCTATTCCTACCAGGAATAGTGTGGCCAGCAGGAGTAGGGAAGTGACCGTCCCCCTGTACTCGGCACTGGTGTGGCCCCACTTTGAGTGTTGTGTCCAGTTTTGGGCCCCTCGCTGCAAGAAAGACATTGAGATGCTGGAACGGGTCCAGGGAAGGGCAGTGAAGCTGGTGAGGGGTGGAGAACAAGTCATATGAGGAGCAGCTGAGGGAGCTGGGATTGTTTAGCCTGGAGAAAAGGAGGCTGAGGGGAGACCTTATCACTCCCTACAACTACCTGAAAGGAGGATGCAGAGAGGTGGGGGTCAGTCTCTTCTCCTGAGTCATAGGAGACAGGACAAGAGGAAATGGCCTCAATTTGCACCAGAGGAAGTTTAGATTGGATATTAGGAAAGATTTTTACACTGAAAGGGTTGTCAAGCATTGGAATGGGCTGCCCAGGGAAGTGGTGGAGTCACCATTCCTGGAGGTATTTAAAAGATGCATAGACATAGCGCGTAGCAATATGGTTTAATGATGGGTTTTGTCTATCTGGGTCCCATCCAATGGGAGCTGACCTGGGCACATGGTGACAAATCTGCTGCTAAAGCCCAGCTGCTTCTTTCATCTGCATGTACTTGTCTCAGCAAGCACTTATTTTCTTAAAAATAGGCTTTATCCTAGGTTATGCACAGAGTAAATCAAGCTCTGCCTGTTGCTTGCTTTCAAAAACAAATGGTAACAGATTTAGCCTAAAGATCTGAGTTCCCTTTTAATTTTTTAAATTTTTTTGCTCCCCCTCTCCAGGCACCAACCTGACCTTTATCTCCTGTAACCCTGTCCAAGTGATAACCACCCATAGTGGTCATAATGGGTACATCTGGTCGTGATGGCTGCACCTGGCTCAGCGTGGTTTTGGGGAGACAGATATCAACACAGTGGCCCAGGGCTAACTTGAGCAATACTGGTACTTTCGTCAACATGCAAATTTATCATCTTACTTCGACAAATAGAGGACACCCCAAGAGCACTTTGAGTTCTCATAGAATTCCCTAGGATTGAAGAGACCTTTCAGATCATCAACCTAACACTGCCAGAACCACCACTACACCATGTCCCTCAGCGCCACGTCTACCTGTCTTTTAAATACCTCCAGGGATGGCGATTCCACCTTGACGCAATTTCCTTTTGTCTTTATGGGCAAGCTGGCCCCTTGCCACCTGGGGCTGAGCGAGGCCTGGCAGCCCACAGGCCATGCCTGTCACCAGGACAAGAAGGTGGACCAGCAGGTCATGGGCACCTCTCCTCAAGTGATGTAGCTGTTCCTCTGGGCACCAGCAGTAAGTCCCCAGGCATAGCCATCTGCCCACCCCTGGCCCCAAGGCCTTGCAGTCTCTCAGAATAAAGTCGTCCCTCACCTCCAAAAGGGCAGCCTTCACCCACTGCAGGGAGGGAGAGGAGCATCCCACTGAGGGCAGTCAGCAGCGTCCCCCCAGCCCTTTGGCAACAAGCACTTTCTGGAGCCACCTTTGGGTTTGGTCTCAACACCCCAACCCAGCAAAATGCAGTTTCAGATCTGCAGGCTCCCACAAGCCTCACAGGATGGGCCCAGCCAAACAGCAGCTCCCCCATTATGGAGACCCTCCTGCATTCTCCAGACTCAGCGGTCTCTGGGGAGGGCTCTCAGCCACCTTACCCCCGACCCAAGCCCTCTGCTCCTTCCCTCACAGACAATACGGCAGCGGCTGCCCTGCACTTTGTCTTTGCCTTTCCTCACCTACCTCACCTCACACCACGCAACGCCTTCCCACCCTCCCTCATCAATGCCCAAGCCCCCGCTCCATTCTCACCTCCCCGCCTGCACCCCCAAACCAAAACCCTGTCCTGACACAACCACTGCCTCCAGGATAGAAATCCCTCAGGAACCTTTTGCCGTTTTGTGCATGCAGAAGGGAGGCCAGTGGCGTGGCAGATCCCTCGGTGCCTTCTTTCTGGTTTTTTTTTTTTAGGTTTAATTTATGTCTGGAGGCCAAATAGGCCTTGGCAAGAAAGCAGTCTCACACCATCCCACGTCAAGGATAACTGAGCAATCAGAAAAAACAGTCTTTAAAGAGAAAGGGCTTCTGAAACGTCACTCTCAGCAGAGCTGCCATCTTGCCACAAACATTTATACCGCATTTTGACCTGACAGGAGTCTATCAAGTTTTACACGAAAGACTCCACCATCTGGCCCCTTCTTTCCGCTCTTGCATTGGTACAGTGTGCACCAGCAGTGCACAGCCATGGCTTTTCTCCTACAGTCATCCACCAGCTGCCATGTGGCATCGTAGAGCGAGGGACGTGCCGTGGTGGCACGGCCAGAGACATGATCATTAGCAGGCTTGACGAGGGCAAGGTCTTCCCACAAGACACCTACCCTACTGTGAAACCACCGGTGCCCACCACAACTTCAGGAGATCCACCTCTTCTGAAGCTGGTCCTGCCTCAGCGTAGGGCTCTGCAAGTAGAGAGTCTCCTGGGCTGGGTCTCCGGGAGGCAGCAGGTCCTGGAGGAGGGAAGGCAGGATACAAGCTTGAACACAAGAAAGTTAGGGCTGTGCCAACAACTCACAGCAAGGGGAAAGGGGTAAAAGGGGAATGATCAGCTGGGGTCAGGGAAGCTTAAAATATAAAATAAAATAAAATAGTAATTCTTGGAGCTGCCAGTGAAACTCTACAAATTCCCTGCTAAAGTTTATGAAATCCACTGTCTGCATTTTTATCTGTGATATCTCAGGACAATTCTCACACTCTGGTAAGAGTTAAAAAAAAAATGTTAGTAACTAATGAATATTACCTGAATCTAAATACTGCTTAACTTACCACGTTTTCTAGTATATACTTCCAAAACATGCATGACCAAATGTATGCTTAATCTGATATAAGTACTAAATACTTTGCTTTGGCATTTAATACACCCTCATGTGATGCTGTCATGTATTCCATACCGCTATCATCATGCACAGATGGCACAGAAACACACACCTGAAAATGTTTTTTTTCTCTGGAGAAAGAAAAGAAAAAGCCCTACAAAAAACCAAACTGAAACAAGACAAAACAAAGCCTCCCAGATTTAAAGTAAAAAAAATTAAATAATTAAAACCAACAGCACGGAATTGTGACTAGTGTAAAAATGCACATTATTAATGATGACATGACCCACGGGAACAGATACACATGGGTTCAATCTTGCCAAGCCAAGCTCATTCACGTCTTTTATTCCCTCTGCTCCAGAATCTGACTTTCCTACAGACTTGTCTGAAAATGCTGCCCTGCGTGTGCTTAAATATGAACAGTTATGCTGTTCAACAGCTCAGCCACCCACACTCCTGGGTTTTTAAGAAGTTATCTAGATGGCAGCTAGTGCAAACAGTGGAAGCTTCATTTCTTAATTAATTTATTGGCTTTAAATGTGTCTTTCTTATACGTTTATCATGCAAAATAATGCACATAAAATAGCCCCGAACCCTGTTTCCCAGAGAAATACCTACCTTCAAAATTCAAAAGACTGAGACAAATCACAGCTGGGTTTATCGAGGTGTCCTCCTCCGGCCTTTGAAAAAAACAAACTTGTCTTGCTATGATCTGGTTTCCTTGCTTGGAAGAGGCATCAAAATAAGCATCTGTTTGTGCAAATATTCAATTTATTTAATAAACTGGCCAGAAAAAACACCATCACAGACCATTCTTGATACCATACAAAACACGTTTAGAAATCCTTCAGTTACATATGAGTTTATAAAAATAACTTAAAACACTATTCTAGAAATCTCAGTACATAAATTTGTTACCAGGTAGAAATTTAGGCACAAGGTGTTTTGCCCAGAAGGCTACAGAATTTACCCCCTATTCCCACCACACTACTAGATTCCCAAGAACCATTTAATAAAAGTAATCCGAACCTTTCTGCTAAAACAGAGGGAGGGAAATGAAAATCCAGATCAAAAAGCACATTCATTTCCATTACAAAGAGACATTTTTACCATTTCTTGATAAATATTTATGCAGTTCAACCAACACAGGAGAAATATTCAAGACTTAGTTATTTTTCATGGAAACCTCTATTTTAAAAGTATTGTTTTCTTAATTAAATATAAATCAGTGCACACATGGAACTAAGTACAGCTTTTAGGCCATATCTACACGGAAAATTTTTCACTGTTGTTTTTTGAGGTTGGGTGGGGATTTTGTTTGCTTGTTTGTTTGGGAGGGAGGTTATTTGGCGGTTGATTTTTTTTAATTCTACAGGCCCATTAATCCGAGGGGAAATCTCAGTACTGCCAATTCAGACCTGAAATGGTGCAGTGTACAATAGCTCACCTGGAAAGGAAAAATTTATTCAAATTGAATAAAATTGAAGAGAGCTCTTGAAAATATAATTCATTCCACATTGGAATTCTGTCTGTTCCAAACTGGATTAATTATGATTACATAAGCTGCACGATAAAGCTAAGATGATCACATCTGTGTTATATGCATGGTTGTTACCGTCAGGGGGGAAAAACAACCCTTCTGCATAACAAGGCCTTCATAAAAAGTATTTTCCTTTCTCACCAGGGAGAACATTTTCACAAATAAGATTCTCTAAAAATAAAAACTCTCAACAGAGTCGGTTCGGAAGCCAAGAAATATATTATTCTTGATGGTACTCAAATTTTTGTCCAAGGATGTCTTCTTCCTCACAATCAGGCATGGAGACATAATTTCCCCTCCATAGGCACGTGAGCTGCTAAAATGCATGTTCCTGAGGAGACCTTGCCATTGCTGTGTTATAACCTAGCACACAGAGGCACTACACAATGATCAGAACTTGTGGTAACATTCTTCGGTTTGGAAGTTCTTTGTTCAGGTAAGAAAACAGAAAGTAATAAAACCAAGCCAAACCAGCTGTTGTCCAGCTGTGCTAGCAGTTCTTCCATCACTGCCCACCAGACAATGCAGGCTTCAGGCTATGACTTCATGAAAGCATTCGTTAAATGCCCTGCTAAGCAACAGCTTGATAGTCAGTATTCCCATTGCATTGCTAATTGCCAGACAATCACCGCGAGTGACCAACTCCCACATTGCTCTTCTCCTGCGGATATGTGCTTCTGCAGATGACTGAGGATGACTTATCCCAAAACCTTTCTTCTGAATTGCTCAAGTCGGCCGCTGCGATGAAAGTCAGTCTCTGGCAATAACAAGAATGGGGGTCTCTAACCTCAGCATCCCGCCTGAAGGGTACTTTCCCCAGAACGCTTTGTCACAGTCAGAGTGGTGAACACCTTTAGAGGAAGACAGACAACATTTAGTATGACTATAATGAATTTCCTCTTCTAGAAGATCAGCATGGGCATAATGCTCAAACCCAAAGTCATTTCTTAAAGTAATAAAATAATAATGGAAAAACATACATTTAAAATCCTTGTTCCTAAATAGCACCCACACATACAAATACCCTTTGTTCTCTTCATTTACCATATGGTCTTTCTTTTACAGCGGAAAATAAAGAATTAAGGAAGTCACATGGCTTTGTACCACTTTTTCTCTTAATCCTCCTAAGTTTTTACAGTGGGAATGAGCTCAGCAATAATAAACTCCAGTCTGTACTTCTAATGAATAAGTGTCTTTATGGCTCAAAGATAACTTCTTTGTTGGGAAAGTGAAGTTAACCCATGGCTACAGTATTTACAGAGCACATAAAGTTCACCTCTGTACCTTTCTAGATATTACAGAAATGTGGAACTGATTGCTGATGTAGGTATTATGTCTGGGATCTGTATCCTCTGGACAGTACCTAAGAAACACTTAGTAAATCTAGTTTGAAAAAGTCCAATCTTTTCTGCTTTCAAGTCACATTAAGGAAACAACCTATTTGAGAATAATTATTGTAAAATTAAAAGGTATCAAAATTCAAGAATTCTACAAAACCTTGTTCAATATTAGAACTTTAGTATGCAAATATTGCATAGTTTTGCATAGATATAATATAGAAAGGAAAAAAAAGGAAATCAAACTCACTTCTATATAAATGCTTCAAAGTCGCAATAATTAGCTATCATCAAAGCCATCTCTCAGAAAGAATAAACTTAGCACAGAATATACACATTTCAGTTATGCAAATAACACTGACGCATCTAAAGATAATGGGGATCTGAAAGCTCTACAGCTTTGCTGCATTAAGGCTGCTAGCAGCTCTTCAGGAAACATCAATAAATGATATACCTCTTCCACTTTCTATAAGCATGGTAAAGCATTAGCCACAAATCAGGAAGACAAATGCATGCCCAATATATATAGCAGAAGAACAGCAATATATTTAAACTATACTGCATGGCTTGAGACAGGGTTTCTAACTCTTCAGTTTTCATCCACAGACTGACAACATATGGGAATCTCCATTTATTGTTATTTCTCTTTGAAAGACAAAGATTAAAAAGCCCAAAATTTATCTGCTTTCTTCTTGGCCAGACTGCAAGCTCTGGGTGTGCTCACCAGTTCCAACGGCTGTGGGGACCACACAACTCCCTAACTCCAGTAAGCCAGCTGGGAGTAATTTAATAATTATTGGAAACACAAGGGGGGGTTTTTTGATGGAATTTGTTAGTTATTCAAATGAAGACAATGCCTTAGATCCAATAGCTGGAAAGCTGTCATTAGCTAACTGGAATAATCACCCCTGTTTTCAGAAGACACTTTCTCTTCATCACAGATGCTCAATTAGAACACGCCTGTATTTCAAGCAACAGGGAACAGTCCAGGCTGGGAGGCAATTTTCTGTAAGGCTGAAGTCTCACCAACTCCGTGCTTACACTTACATGTGCTTTACTTTGCAAGAAATTCCCCCCAGAACTCATGCTTTCTGTAAAATAAAATGCTGCTCAAATAAAAGAAGTGAAATCTGGCTCTAATTTGTAAGCAGTGAGAAATGGGACCTTCGGTCTTACAGTCTCCCTCAACTTGAGCAATACCACGTTTCGCAGGAGGCTCTTTGAGAAATGAATTAGTACTAACGTCATTGAAGATGTCAGCATTTGACCTTGCAACACTCAGATCAGACTTCATTTTCCTTAGTTTTCACATGGATGTAAGATAAAAATAATGCCAATATTATCCATCATTCAATTCATCCAAATATGCACAGTCCTCACAAATTCCAAACAATTTTTAAGCATTTTTTTAATCAAAGAGTACCATCTTGCACTTTGATTTTTGTTTACTGCTGAAGAGATTAAATTAAGTAACAGGCACAAAAAAACCTTTTGAAGACTGGCACTAAAAATGATTGCTGTTCCCTGGAGCTTTTAAATAGTGTATTTCTCCTGAGCCAATTTCTTCCTCCCCCACTCAAACAAATATGATTATCTGAAATTACCTCCCTAAATTATGCCTAATCATCATTCTATTCAGTTTCAATTTTAGCAGCTCAGATGTCCAGAATAAATTATGACTATCATCTTCTCTTCACACTGCATACGCTAATATCCCGCTTGAGTTCACAGGTTTGAATGCCTCACTCAGAGTTCCCCCTCCACAGAGCCTCTGGTAAACTAAGGACCTGCCACCCCTCTTTAGGGACTTCCAAGAACACCATTAGATGATATTACAGGAAAAAAACCCCAGAATCTCTACTGCATATGCTCTGAAGGTGATTCACATTGCTAGTAGCCCATTCCATTAACGGGGCTCATATTATATTGCTTATATTGTATCACTTTGGAAACACAAAACAAGAGCAGTTGGACTTCACTTCTGCAGACCACCACCACCCTGGTGATCTCTTTCACCTCACACAGGAAAGTAAAAACACAGATTCTGTGCAAAGACCCACAAAAGATAGATGGTTTTTGCAGGGATCCTCAGGTCATATAACTGGCCCTAATACTACGGAAATTGGGGGAGCATCTCTGATTTATACCTGGGAGAAGCTGTCCCCCACCCAGTAGAGAAAATTAAGCTCTTCATTAAAGAAAAACAGCAAGAAAAACACAAGAAAAAAACCAATGATGGTGTGGCCTTGCGTACTTCACTTCAAAAGTCAAGTCCTTGAGAGTAAAGGAGAGATCTTTAAAAGAGCAGAATTTAGTAGAAATAATTGCCACATAGCTGGTCCCCTCCCATAGCACCAGTTTATAAGCCTATTTTGAGTACACATATATTAAAAAAACTACCTTTGATAACCACTTTAGCAGAAATAGTATTTGAAGCCTTTATAAATGGATCTTTGAGTGGGAGGAAAATTCTGTACTTCCCAGTAGAGGGAGCACTGGATTAGGAGAGACCATAAACACTTCACAAATTAACGCACTAGAAAAACAATAATCCCAGATTAAACCTAAATGTTATATTTCTAAATATCAAAAAGAGATACTTTCCTGTCCTTTTTTCCCTCCCTCCTACATTCCCCCAAATTCTGACCTCTTTAATAGAGCTCTGCTCTTTAGATTTCCAACACCTTAGCCCAGAACGCTACGAAAGCTGAGATAGGAGGTGACTTCATATACAAACCTCTGCGCAGACGGGATGAATTCCTACAGTGCTGTCCAGCTGTTCTTTTGTCACCCCACATTTCATAGCAGCTGCAAACCCTTGGGTGATTTCTCCAGCGTTTGGACCGAGGACATGGAAACCAATGATTCTCTCCTAAATACGGAAGGTAATCAAATACAAGCAGAGTCATGCATTCAGTTCACTTTAGATAATGTGTAAGATTTTCTTACTCAGAGTATATAATTTCATCAGTTCACAAAACACACCACAAATTAATGAAACCACACAAATGTGAACTATCATTAGCACCAACACATGGGAGATAATGGGTATAATTTTGTTCTCTCTCTGAAAAGGAAAAAAGATTCAACTAGGAACTCAAGAATGGGCTTCCTTACAAAGTTTTGTGCAGGAGTCCTCTGTTTACATCAACAGCATGCAAATTTAACACACACCACAGCCTGTGCTTCATTATAGTGTATGTCCAAATCGCAAATACGCATTTAAATTTTATTCAGGCAAGTTATCCCACTCATTCCAACAGACTGCTTGCCTAAGTAAAGGTGAGCACCTTGCAGAAAGGTTTGCAACATCAGGGAGGGTACGTGGTGGGTATCTCGTGAAGAACTTTCAGTTCAATAGTTGCTTATGGGAAAAGGCCACAAGGTAACGTTCCAGCTCCCCAGATGTGGCAAGAAGTACTGAACTAAACTAATGACTGCTCTTGTTGCAGCCTTTGCTGTCATTGGGGATATGGATATACCTACAGAATATCCTTAGAGACTGGCAAAACAAATTAAAAGACATCCAGTCACAAGGACAATACTGTTACTTCACACGTCTCATATCTATACTACTGTTCAACTGCAAATTTTGTCAAACTACACATATATCCTCTGCAAACAGTCTATAGAACAAGCTGTACTGACTTGACCTGCTTTTCTTAACGAAAAGCTTGCTTCTCCTTTAGCAAATGCCAACTGCTGTGGGCTTCCGGTGGCTTTCAGGGCATTAATCAGATTTTGCTGAGCATAGATGCAGCCTAGTTGGGTATCAGAAGTTTTCTGCTCCTCCCACTAAATATCACATATAAGGGCATGTGGATATATACTCAGTACACTGAAACGTTATTTTTCTTTCAGTAAGGATGAGGAGTGAGATTTACCACAGGGTTTATTTAAAGAAGAAAAGCTATAATTAGGTAATAACTAAAATGGAATTACCCTTACTTTCCTTTAAAAATATGGACATATGTAAAAACAAAACCATAGTAATGCAACTGAGGTAACTACAGTTTTAAAAGGTTACTCAACTATTTTTCATCCAGAGTAACTTTTCAACTCTACCCCTAGATGTTTAAATATGTTCCAAATTTTCAGGACAAGACATGGAAACAAATTAATGAATAACTTTAAAACACCATTAAGCCTTTTCATTTTCTTATGTAACTTTGGATTAGGAACATAACCATGGGTTCTAAAATAGCTTCCACTGTAGTGCAAACTCCTTCAGAAAGAGGAGATGGGCAAAACCAGACAGGTTTCCAAATTTTACAAAATTGTGATGTGATGCTTAGAAAGACTGCAGGAAGACAAATCTGTATCTAATGATTAAAGAAAATCGGTAAAATAGATCCAAAAGTTTTTTAGGACTGATAGCTCTATGCCACTATCTTAACAGGAATACATTTTAACAACATATTATTTTTCATAATAATTCATATTATTAAAATAAACTAATTCTTTATTAAACAGATGATGATCATTCAGAGAACGGCATACAAATTCTTTTAACCGATTGGTAATTTTGCTCGTGCTACAGCAGGTACTGTATATTTCCATACCCAGGAAATTTTATCCTAGGATAATCCTGGCATTATCACCCTAAATGAGATTTGTGCAGGCAAGATACATTAATCCTGTTAGAAGGAGCTCAAGAGTTTTATAGACACATGTGGATTTGCAGAAGTTACAAGATGTGATGGTTTCTGAGTAACCTCAATTTCAGAGAGAAGAATTTCCCTGAAAAGAATGCTACAGTTTGGGGAGAGGGGGGAATAAGATAAACTGATAAAAATTCTAACTGTTTTTACGTGCATTGATTCACTCACTTTACAAAGTTATTGAATAGTTTTAGAGATCTCTACATCTTATTTTACATGTATGGAAGAAGTATCATATACCAATAGCAACAGCAGAATTTTCTGTTTCACTAAGGGCCATTTTTGTATAAACAAATGTATTGTATTACTATAAATACCTACTACATTTCAAAAGGTACAAAAACGTAATTAATTTTAATTTGTTAAAAATAACCCATTTATAGCTGTGGTATCAATGGTGCCTATGATGAATGAATAGCTGCTGAAAGATACACTTACCTTATCTCGAATATTGCAAATTATCTTTGCATAACATTTGTTGTTGTCTCTGGATGGCACAGTCCATTCCAGTGGCCAGAAATGACTGTGGTACACCTAGAAATACAACACAGGTTAAAAAAAACCAACAACTTGTGTAATTTCACAGCAGGGAGCATGATCTTCCAAAACCCACCAGATTATCTTAAATTTGCCTCATTTAGCTCCAAAGGTGGAGCTTTACTACTGACTGCAATTGCTTTTGGAAAGCACATGGGTAAAAACTTGCAACAATTGTGACACAGTGCAAGGATGAACCATTAGCTAATAACTCTTTATCAGCAATCAGCCATGCATGTAGAATTTGGAATACATGAGATCAGGGTGAGATTCTTTCCCTTTGGTGAATGACAAAGAAGGATGCCTCTACAAAACAAGCATCCAATAATTTAAAAAAAAAAAAAAAGCCATACATGTATTACACTTCCAGGATGCAGTTCACCATGTTCTCCAAAAATTAAAAAAAAAAAAAAAAAAAGCCATACATGTATTACACTTCCAGGATGCAGTTCACCATGTTCTCATTAAATTAGACACATACAAGCTCCCCTCGCAGATGACTGTACTGTCTCTGGACCTACTCAGGATTAGGGCAAAAATATTTCTCAGAGCAGAAAAAGGGAAGACATAACCTCAGAGCCCAGGTTTAGGAGAGATGAGGGCGTGCTTTGCGTGTGCTCTCTTAGATTTACATAATCTTAGAGAAATGAAAAATGCAAAGTACATTTGACAAAAAACACAGCAAACCCACATTCTTCTGTCTGCCCCAGCCAACATCACTGGCCGGATGTCTAGCTGCAGACAAGGTTGCTCACCCACTTCAGTATCTCAGGGTGTTCTGAGACACAGTTCTACCCAGAACTCTCAACAGCTCCCCTTAGAAGCTAACCTCAGATTGATTACTATTTGAAAGAAGTTTTTAATTGATCACAACTCCAGTAAAAATATGTCCCTCCACAAGCTAGGAAAAACAGCTCAATGTTTTTTCATATGAATTGGGTTACAAAGCATTTATGAGCATGGCTATCTGAAACTGAAATTTAACGGGTCTGAGAGACAGATTCAACTCAATAATCCCAGTGAAGCTTGAAAAAGCCAATATGGTGACATGACAGAGAGGTCAGAACAAACCAAATTAGTACTTAGCCACAATACAAATGCTTCTGCATGCAAATTTTCAAAAATGGCTTTGAAAATGGAAAGTGCGTTTTCCACAAAGAAGGGTCCAGTGTTACACATGTAACAGCAAGAATTTGACTCAAAAATTTGACTCTGTTTATGTAAACTTTGTGGGGAGGACATAGTTTAAATCCCTGCCCTGTAGTCAGGTTAACAGTACTTGACACACTGCCATTTTAAGTCATATTTACTTCTTTTCTCCACAGTCCAAGTCAAAAAACATAACTGACGAAGCCAAGAGGGAGACAAGTTCTCAAGCTCTCATGAGCCACCACTTATCTTCTTACTTCCCCAAATAACGCTCCTCAGGTGATCTTCACAGGACATAAAAATTCAGTTTATTGTCAGACTCCTTCCCCTCATGCTTTCTGTAATGTGTTCCGTACAGTATTTTGTAAGAACAGCCTTAGGCACTAAATGCTTACATATCTCTAATTTCACTCTTGACCAGCAATCCCAGTGACTGAAAAGGGATCATTCACATGAGTAAAATTAAGCACATACCTCCTTAAATAGTCAAAATAAACAGGTAAAATGAGCATAACAACGTTTGGCTTTATAAAGTAAAAGGATTCCTACTATAGCAAGGAATTTGCCGCACTGTAGTTACAAAAAGCTCCACTTTGACATAAAAACCAACACATTACTCCCAGAACATATCCAGCTTTAATTCATCTTGAAGTATTTGCAGACACAAAGAAATTCTTTTTTTAAAAAAAAAAACCCAAATATTCCACCGTCAAGCCCTGTTTGCCAAAAATAGAACATATTTGCAACTAGAGCTATCAAAATTGGGGACTATTTTTATAGCATGTCTAGGAACTGCCAAGGAAGACAAAAATGTACCTAGTCCCCTCCTGCCCTTGCATCAGAATACAAAACGATGCTTTGATTGACTCTTAACATTATTTTAATTTACAAATTGGGAACTTAAAATCCAGTTGAAACTAAGGCATTTACCTCAATGTTTTCTGCCCCAAACTTCTCCACCGCAGTCTCTTCAGAATACCCACAGGCTCCGTACTCCAAAGGCGTGAATACAGTGGTTGGAACATTCAAATAGTCACACTGTGTGGCATTCAAAACAAACCAAACAACACAACATCAGTAATAAGATCAGGACATTGGGTAAAAATTCAGCAGTCTGAAAGACGGGATGAAAAGTTGGATTATTCATAATTCTGAAAGCTACCTGTTCCTTTTTAAATTTTTTAAAATTAAGCTACAGTTTTGGTTTTGTCCCTCTCAGAGGCGTTAACTAGAGCAAGAAGAGAGCGACAGTTTAAAGCCACACTGACATTAGTATGCACAGATTAAAAGGAATAGGAAATTCAGAGACCTGTTTAAAAATGTACCAGATCACAGGTCAAACTGGAGATAAAAAGTAGACAGCTCAGCTGTGTCTACAAAGCATGCTATCTTTAGCTCCGGATGCTGCAAAGGCACCACCAACATCCAAAAACCACCATCTTTTGTATCAACTGTGGCTTAAGCGATGCCAAAGAACCAAAGACATGAACTAGAGCCGTCTGGATAGTTAGAACTGCAGCTGATGCTGTGTGCCTAATCACATACCACGAGCCCTGACTTCACTGGAGCTTTACAGTGATCTCTGGGCAATCTCTGGGCCTGAGCACCCTCACTGTAAAGAAGTTTTTTGTTATTTTTAATTAGAATTTTCCTGTGTTTCAATTTGAATCTACTGAAAGGTGTCCACCTCCCTCTTCTTTACTCTCTACCATCAGGTACAAATACACATCGATATAAGAGCCCCCCAAGGCATCTCTTCTGCTGGGTACAAAAATTCCCAGCGGTCTCAGCCTCTCCTCACGTGCCAAATCCTCCACTGCCTTAATCACAGTCACGGCCCTTTGCTGGGCTTGCCCTGTCCTTCTTGTACTGGGGAGCCCAAAACTGGACATAAATTCCAAACTCATCTCACCAGAGCCAAGCGGAGGGGAAAAGGTCACTTTCCTCCACCTGCCGGCAATGCTCTACCAGGATACAGCCCAGGATGTCACTGGCCCTCTTTGCCAAGAGGGTACATTGCTAGCTCACAGTCAAGTTGTCCTCCAGACCCCCCCCCACAAGGCTTTCTCTGCACAGCTACTTTCCAGCTGGTGGGTCCCCAGCCTGTGCTGGTGCATGGGGTTACACCTCCCCAGGTGCAGAACCTTGCACGTCTCCTTGATGAACTCCATGAGATTCCTGTCAGCTCATTTCTCCAGCCTGACAAGGTCCCTCTGAGTGACAGCACAAACATTGGGTGCATCAGTCACTTCCCTCTGAGTGACAGCACAAACATTGGGTGCATCTTCCCAACTTCCCCTCAGTTTTTTATCATCTGCAAACTTGCTAAGGGTGCACTCTGTCTTATCATCTAGATGATTAACAAAGATGTTAAACAGTACTGGACTGAGTATCCAACCCTGTGGCACACTACTAGTTACTGGTCTTCTGCTGGTCTTTGTACCGCTGGTCACAGCTCGTTCAGCCAGTTTTCAATCCACCTCACTGTCCCCTTATCTAGCCTGTACTTCATTGGTTTTTCTATGAGAATGTTACGGGAGACAGTCTTAAAAGCCTTTACTAGAGTCAAAGCAAACAACATCCACTGCTCTCCCCATATCCACTAAATCTGCCATAGCAGACTGGCAGGCTGGTCAGAACAATTTAATTTCTAGTAATCCTAATTTTTAAAGAATTTCATTCTAATTAATTTCCTTCATGACTGGGGATCACGATGCTGCTTACTATTTTTTCCCCACCTATCCATAATACTTCATTATGTTTCATACAATCACCCCTTCCAGCAATGTAAGCCAGGATCCCATCTAAGTAGTTACTCATTTCTTGGATTCATTGAAAGAGATGATTCTTTCTTTGGCAGCATAAGGATTTTCATACCTTGAAAGAGAGATATCTGGCATAAAATGTAAATTAAGACATATCCACAGTATTGCAGCAAGAAAAAAAATTCTGGCTCCAGCTATGGTTTTCCTAAACTTTGCCTGGCTGAAGTAATGACATTATGCACACTGATTCAGGATTCTGTTACCACAATACCTGCCAACCTAAAACAAACAACTCAATCAAGCTCTAAATCTGGCCAACAGCTGAACTTGATATGAATACAGCAGGATCTACAAGAGAAAAGCCTTTATGCTCATACCCTATGGTTACGAAGGTGAGACGAGCACCCACATCAATGGTGCCTGGATAACAGTTCTTAAAAGGCACCTTCCTCCAGATTTAAAGATAAGGTGTAAATGAGTACCCGTGTTACTTCTGTTTGGACTAGGATAAGTTGACTAGTATGAAAAGGAGATACTAGGATAAATTGCACTAGTATGAAAAATAAGCAACGAATTGATGAATTCAACTTCTCGGGTACAAATACGTGCTGACTTATTGGTGCATTTGATCTTCCTTTCTGTCCATATTCAGTTATAACTATGTATTGCATTGAAAACACATGGATGAGAAGTGAAAAAAATAGTGGAAATAACATTGAAAATGAAGAGCATCACAAACCCCTATTACATTCTATTTAGGGACTGTAGGTAGGTTTAGTAAATTGCCTATTAATTAGAGTTAAAGCACTTAATGGGATGGTAATGATTGCTGATTTTTAGGGAAGGTGGTAGAGCTAAAAACAAGTTAAATGATCTCAGTTAATTTTATTATCATTATACTCTGAGAGTAAAATAAAACTTTTAATAGGAAAAAAAGATACTATGACTTAATCCATAAGGAATAAATTTCATCCTGCACAATTAGCAGAACATATCTGCAGTAATATCTTTGCAAGGGGAAAATTAAAGTGATCATCAAAGCTAATCCTGAAAAGCCTACTGAGTTTTCCATAAACAAGCAGA